CGATTTTTGTAGCCAGCTGCTAACGTAAAAAAATGCATACCGATCACAACCGAACTTGCGCAATCCCCACAGAATTGCTCACTGTCGGACGTTGTTGCCTCTTATCCCTCCAACCTATATCGCTATATTTCAGGCAGTGGGTGGTGGATGGCGACAAGCTGGTGTACTAGCGGCTGCAGCACATGTTGCCCTTGACAAAGCAGAGGATACCATAAAAAGAGACCACGCCAACGCAAAGAAACTTGCCTCTGGTATCAATGCGATAACACCGGAAGAACTTAAACATGTACGTTTACGGGGGAGGGGGAGAAGCTTCAACCGCAGCATTCAGTACTGAAGTTTCAGACCATCCACGCTCCAGATGTCGGAATTACGAACATGGTCATATTAAAATGTTGCAACGGTGTATCTCCAATACAGGTGAGTTGGAAATAATGTAAAGTCCGATGTTGATTAGTCCCTTTCGGGAATAAGCCACGCATTCGGCTTCCATTCGAATCGTAGGCATTTGAATGCAGATCCGGCTTACACAACGAAATGCAGGTCTAGCTTGACATATAACTCAGGGAGTAAAGGGTATTCATCATGCAAGACGTGTCTGCTGTTGGTTTGTCGACCCACGCTCGTCGGCGACTGATTTGGCCAGAAATCGGTCCAAGATTCTTCCCTTCTTTGAGTAATAGCAGCACCTTTTGTGTCACTGTCCCATCTCCACCCATCCAACGTGTCACCCTCAGGATACTCCCAATTCGGGAAAAAATCGAATATTCGTATTGATTGATTCTTTTGAAGCCCATGTTTTCAAGGGCTGAAGTGCTTATGGATGGGAGTCCCTGGATCTGGACAAGTACAGTTTATCTGATAGAATATTGCCCCAGCCCAAGGATATTGCTCCATTTTCCGAGATCAGCGCAGTGTAGATATTTGAAGCAGCAACTCTAAAGGAAAGCCCACATCCTCCTGTCACTGGACTCACACAGAGCGCGTTCAAATTGAATAGTGAATGGGGAGAAGAGTGTATGGCCTTACGGCAAATTTGAATATAAAGTATGGGAGCAGAAGTATCAAATGGTGCAAAAGGGAGGATGACGGGAAGAAAATAGAAGAAACTGAGCCTAATTTACCCCCGGGGAGGGGGGGGGGGCAGTCCGTAGGAAGGCCACTACTAAGCCTCAACGGTGAAGG